CATCATCCATCGGGGGGTAGTCACTTTCTTAATCGAAAGAGCATTCATTCTGGATTTGATCGAACTGATCAGTTGATTGAAGCTTTCTGAAGTATTCTGTACCTTAGAATGTAGCTTTGACTTTGGTCAAGAAAAGATAGTCAACAACCTTGAGTTTTTTTTGACTTTTTTTAAAATCCCAGGGTTGACTATTTGAAGCTCTGACCGTTGTGTTGACCTTCGGTTTTGGAGTTTGGACCTCGAAGTCGAAAATTGGCCAAAAATTAGCACTTAAAGTGGATGTTGGGAAAAAAGTGTACTTTTCCAAGTGATGGGAGAAAGTAACTTGTTAACTTATCCCACACCTAAACTCCTTGAGAATTTTTGAACCTATAAATATGGAGCACTCCTTCCTTATAATTAAATGGTGAAGGAGAAGAGGGGAGCTCTCGCGCACATGGGATTTCGGCTTCTAGTTCAAAAGCGAAAATTCGCACCCCCTGCGCGTGCGACCTGTGGACACGATAGTCGCAAAAATTGGCAGGTCTCAAAAGTCAATTTTGCCCCTCCTTCCCCCCTTTTTTGATCTTTTTGCGCTTCTAAAGTTTGTGCACGGTTTGCTAGTCGGAGAATCGCGCACGCGCATAAATATTTTACTCAGCCCAAAATCGCGCACGAAAGAAAAATCACTCAGCAAAATCACGCACGGAGGAAAAAATCACGCACGGCCAAATCGCGCATAAGTTGAATTGCGTACGGAAAATCGCAGAAGCCTTTTTGCGCACCAGTAGAATTGCGCAAGGCAGATTCCGCGCACCTGTTTTTGTTTTTGTTTTTTGTTTTCGTATGGAAAGTTTCGCGCACCTGAAGATCACGCAAAAGCAAAATTGCACAGAAGAGTTTCACTCGTCTCTTTTCGCACACAACAGTTTTGCGCACAAGAGAATGGTGCACGATGACTTTAGGAAATGGCGCACGGGACTTTGAGAATGGCGCACAGAGCTTTGGCGCAGAGCACTTTGGCGCAAGGAGTAAAAATCAACTTAAGTTTCACGCACAACCTCTAACGCGCAGGAAAGAGATTCGCGCATGAAACGTTAAAGTTGTTTCTTCCTCATTGAGATGCGCTAAAGTGCAGAATCGCTCCTCCTCTTCTTGACCTGTACGCCGATGATTTGGATGCGGAAAATGTGGAGAATGAATCCTAGGAATCACAGAAACATAATCCTTTAAACATTTTCCTGCAAAATCAGTAAACAAAAACAATCTGCAAATCGCTCGTGAGAAGAAAACAGTCGATGAAGTTTCACGCAAGCTTTTTCTTCTCTGCTTCAATCGTTCGATCAGTCCCGCTCTGATACCAATTATTGGTCCCTGTATTTCTATGCTATAGAAATATAAAATAAAGCTTAAAGATGGTGAATGAAACCTTTCCTTAGAGAAGAAGAAGTTTACAGAATGATAGGGAAAAGGTAGCGTAAAATTTCTCTAGCTCTAGGCTCTCTGCGCAAGTGTAGAATTTCAGGAAAGGCTTAACATCTCATTCCCTTTAAGGCAATATTTATATGCCTAGGGAATGAGTTAATGTGACCTAGGTGTGATTGGGCCCCTTTATTGAGGTGGCCCAAATCCACACAATACAAGGCTTTTCCTAATATAGCTAGTCTAATAAATATATTAACTAGACTAAATACAACACAAATACTAAATAATTAAAACATGATTTAACACCATAAAATATCTCTAACAGTAAGGCATAATGAAAGGTAAATATTTCTTCTTGTAGTTTAGAAGATTGATATTGTTTTTCTGTTTATCAATGCTAAAACCAACAATTTACATGGTGTTGGATCCCATTTCATCCTTTATTCAAATGATTAATAACCTGAATGAGTTATTTCAAGTTTGTATGAGTCAATGACCACCTTGACTCATAACCTGCTTAAATATGCATTTTCTTTTGCATTTATTAGATGCAATCTAATATTTTCTATCTCATTTTTAATGCGAGTTTCCATGTAATAAAAAAACATTGAGGGTATCTCAGTGGACATCGGTGTCCTCACATTGTGAGGGTTCGGGGAAGCTCCACAAAGGTATATAAAGTCATTCTTGTTACTTTAACAAGAGGCTGCTCACTAGATTCGAACTCATGACATGATTCCATTCTATGTGAGGACTATTGTGATGAACAAATTTAGAACGTAGCAAACTTTGGTGACTTCTAGATGCATTTGGAGGTCATGGGTACAATTGTTTCAATCATAAATGATTTTAAGGAATTACTTCGATAAATATATATTCCTTAATTTATTGTGCATCACCACAATGTGTTAAAACACCTATTTGTCACAGATTTCAATAATTTACAAATGTCACTCATATACCTTAGAGTGCTATGACCTCAAGTCGAATGTGGTACATATCATTCTACTATTTTATGGATATATACCTTTGTATCCATTCTTTTATGAATAAAATTCATAGATATGCATGTAATGAATTCGAATGCATAAACATCTCAAATATATTTTAAGATAGAACAATGAGATGCTAAATTAATTAAAAATCTCAAACGAATATAATTTATACCAAACTTTAAGACTTGAATAAAAGTCTAATTAGAATTAGTAATGTTCATATTTTTAAAACTCATGAAAGAGTAAAATAAAAAATGGATAAACTCAACAATTAGAGAATGTTCTTATTCCCAAAACAGTAGACAATCATAAAATTTAATTTATATTCTCATGCGGTGAATCTTTTGTTCTTTAGAGATTCTACGAAGATTAAAACTAAAAGTATATTTTCATGTTATATATATCCTGATGAGGTAATCACATTTAATCCTCTTATATTAAGTGATGTATTTTAACATTTATATTTTCAAATTTTATTTGGAAATTTCTTTATCCAAATAACTCTTGGGAGGTTTCTTTATCCCAAAAAAATTGTAATTACGTTTAAAAAAACACAATAACAATAAACCTCATTCACTAGTGCAAGCTAAAGGCTAGTTAGTTACATAATTATTTAAGATACACTGGTGCATTAATATATCTCTAGAGAAGTATGTGTAAAAAAATGGTTAATTTTTTTCTATCAAATTAAATAAGCTTTTGTGATTTGCTTTTCACAAAGTGTGCCGGAGTAGCATTGAATTCATAAAAGTAGTTTTTAAAATAAGTATTGAAGGTACTCGAGTCCATTTGAGGCCACAATGTCAAACTCTGGTAAAAAATGATTGGTCATCTTTTTTCCTTTTTCTTTTTTAATAAAAAAAATACACTTTAGCATGTGATGATGTGTACATCTTTGTACTTGTATGAAGTGTCAATTACATTTGTAATCTTTGTGTGAAAATTATATATCACACAAATAATTAATAAAGAAAATGGAATGTGGTAGATGGGCTAAAAATTCAATAATAGTACTCATGTTCTTCTGAGTTTAAAGAAACGAAATCAAGTTGAGATATGTTATTTATCTTTTCAAAGAGTATAAACGGTAAAATCATGAGTGCATCCATGATATCTTTATTTAAGTAAAAAAATGTAATATGAGAAATTGCATTTCCTTATGCAAAATTTATTTAGAAATTACTCCAAATGGAACTAAAACTATGTCAAAAACTCAAAATAGGACTTACTATGTTTTTCTTTTCAAAATAGGACCAAATTAGTCCTATTGGAAACATACCTATTTTTTCCTTCCATTCTTACCCTTCCTTTAAATATGAGTTAATTAAATGTTTAATTCATAATAAATTCGAAAAAAAATCAAAAATTCGTAGAAAAACAATAAAAAAATTTATAAAATATTTATAAAATAAAAAATTAAAAAAAATAATTTTTTTTTTAAAATTAATAAAAAATAGTAAAACTCCATAAAAAAAATTAAAAAAAATATGGATGCCTTTCCCACTGCCTGAACTACCTCCCTGCACCACCATCCCTGGGCAGTGAAAAAAATGCCATTTTCCCTAAAAACTGCCATTTTTTCCTGAAAATGCCAAAAACATGGCATATTTCTCTTTGAGAATGCCAACATTTTCATTATTTTCTGTCATAAATATGGCATTCGTAATGAACTTGGCATTTTTTTCCCCGGTGACTGGAGGTGGTGGTGCAGAGGCGACAGAGGCGGCGGTGAATTTTATTTTATTTTTTTGAGTTTTTTATTTTTAATTTTTTTTTTAATTTTTTTATTTTTTGAAAAAAATTATTTAATTAATTATTATTATCGAAATATTTTATTAGTTTTTTAGTATTTTTTACGAATTTTTATTATTTTTTTATTATTTTATTATGAATTAAAACATTTCAATAGCTAGAAGGGTATATTTGTCCAAGACACACATAATTAGTCCTATGAAAACATAATTTAGTTTTTGGTCCTATTTGTACAAAGTGAGTGACTTTTAGTCCTATTTTGATAATTAACCCAAATTTATTTCACACGAATAATTTGGGACGGGATTACAACAATAATCGAATGTGATTGCAGAACGAGCAAGTTTTTCATTTTGATGTGAGAGAAATCATTTGGAATATACAAATTAGTTCCAAAAAAAATTAGAATCTTTGCCAGGCAAAAAGATGATGTATATGAAAGAAATAAAAACAAGATTACATGTTTTTGTAAAGAAAAACATAAAAAAAATATGATACGAATATAACCGCTAAAATAATGGGCATATATATATATATTAATCATATCATCATTTATACACATCATACGCATAAGAGCATACTCAAAAAAAATAGTTGTCAAGCTTCCTTATTTAAGGAGAAATTATGTTAAAAAATACGAGGTAGTTGTCAAGCTTCCTCATTTATACACAAATGTCTTTTAAAAAAAAACTAGAATTGTTAAAGCTATGCATTCAAACAATTATAGACAAAAAATAATTCAACAATCTCAAGTTTCGAACAACATTATCTTAATCTAATATGATTATAAAAGAATAAAAAGAAACACAAAAAAATTGTCTAATGAAATAATCGAATCCATAGGAATACCTGGGAAATTGGGATATGATGTGAGGCAATTGAGAAAAATTAGCATCATTCATCCTCTCTTGCAATGGCATGTGCATCTCTTCTCTGATCTTCCGGCAGCGGATCCAGCAGTTTCATTTAGTCAGTGGGCGTCGATGAGCCTTGGACGAGCAGCGGTGGAAGTTGATGGCGTACAACGATCATGACAGGCGTGGGTGGCTTTAGCCTGATGCGTAGATCGATGGGCTTGACGCATTCGTCTAAAGAGCGTAGTATAGCAGAAGTTAGACTGAAGAGGAAGGACAAAGTCTGGCGGTCACAACCTGTCGTGGAAGCGACCAACTAAGAGGGGTGGTCAGCTGAAGGAGCGGCTGGTTGGTTGTGCCACCATCCGTGGAAAAGAAGAACGGAAGGGTAGGAGAGAAAACTACGGTCGAACTCCGCGCACCGCTAACTGTGCTAGGCGCACCTTTTTTTTTTCATTTAGTGGACACATATGCCCTCTTTCGTACGGATACTTAAGTACTCCGTATAGACCATCTAATACTCCGTAATTTTTCAGTGGGCCTCTTTTTGTTTGCTTTTAAAATAAAAATAGGTTTACGTTAAAAAAAAATACTCGTAGGTTTTAAAATGTCTTTAATTTCCATTAAAAAAAAATCCCTAAGTTTTGTGTAACATTGTTCTAAAAAATAAATCTTTAAAACGTATTCAATTCCTAACATGCAATTCTATATACGAGTTTTTGCTACTTTCATATTTAGTCATTGACTATTGTGCTAAAGACACATTTAATCCTTGATTTCAAAGTTTCTTGCATTTTATCTTCTGAGTACTTATTGATCAAAAGGCGTTTTAAAAAACAAAAATAAGTTGGGTCGGGAACAAATTTAGCCAGGCCGTCTAGCCACCGCCTAGCCCGTCTAGGTGGTCGACTGATTTTTCTCAGTCGATTACCACGGAATCGGGGCGCCCGACCACCTCGTATTGACTAGGCGGACGCCTAGACCGATTTTTAGAACCATGTTTTTTATACTTTAGCTAGTAATTTAAATTGTACTACGTAACTTTAGTGATGATAACGTTCAAATTTACATTGTAGTGACTATGGTCATAAAATTAAGTCACATTTTTATTCATAGTAATATTTAAGGAAAAATCAATTAAGGTAAGCATCTACTCGTAATAAAAAAGAATGTTTCTTTAAAATTATACAAATGCAATATATGTGTCATAGGCCATAAAAAATAATCAATTTGATATACTTTTGTTAATATTGGAAATCAAATTAAAATATTATATCCTCTCCCTCCAAATTTAAAAGTTCTCTACACTTTTCTTTTTGGGCTGTATTTAACCCTTTCATTTTTGGTAAGTTAACCCTTTATAAAATACTCAACTACCCTTACTTTATCTACTTTTTATCTTCTCTTTCATACTTTACGCACTCTCTTCATTTTTTTACACTAATCATTACCCCTATTATTCTATCCTAAAATATTGTACCCAAAGCTAGTGTAGAGATCATTTAAATACAAAGGAAGTAGTATTTTATAAAAAATAATTGCTCATCACATTTTAATAAATACAGAATATGTTATTTGGATCAATTTTGAGTCATCAAATGAAATAAGTAGAAGTGGCAGTGCGTAGTAATGGAGTTTGTTCCTGATCTTAAGAAATCAGTTATACGTGTTGTAAAATCCTGGAAATGACAAGTGTAAATTGTTATCCTTGTCATCAATCCAGAAATTATGTTTAATCCTTGTAACCTAGTTAGAACAGATGGCTCAAATTGTTATTGCCACCAAATCTGTAGATTCATCCCTTAAGTGACTAATCATCAAGTTCAAACAGTATAAATAGGAGCTGAATGAGGCATTGTAAATTCATTCAGAGATTCAAAAATTCTCAGATTAAGAAGAAGATATTCAGAACTTTTATTAATACATCTCTCTTAAGTTTAGTCTTCATCTTCTTCATTTCATAACAATACGGTGTTAAAAATTAGCAATATCGGGGAAATATATTGTGTTCCTAATCTCAAGTATACCGTAGTTAGCAATATACTCCTATACGGTGTTAAAAGTTATTAGAATCAATTTATACGTAATAGCTTCTCATGTTAAAAGTTAGGGGGCAAAATAGTCAACCTAAGGTTACGTTAAGCAATGTTGGGGGTGCCCAAAGCAACCCCCGAAAACTATGGTTAGAGACTCGTGCTGATAACGTGTTGTAGTGAGAATTGTTCGTAGAGTAGGGTTTACACGTACGGGTCAATAGGCCCATAATACATCATTTACATAGGAAGATCCTATTACATGTTCTAGCCAAACGATAGCACACAACATATGATTTCCTTCAACAGGTTTTGAATTCTAGGACTGTTATTGGCCTTTTGTTTCAAAATTCAAGCTTCAGTAAATGGTTAGTACCTTCTAGGTAATTAAGTAAGCTAGCTTACTACGGAGTATAGGATAACAGCTCATGCAGAATGGATAACCATTGAATCACATATTCATATATGTTGAAAAAAATTAATTTAATAAATTATAGGTGTATCAAATATCTAACCTTCTGAGTGTAATCGTGTCTGTAAAAACAGTTTCAATCAAGAAAGACTCAGTAGTTTTGATTAATTATTTTTGAAATCATTATAATTATATCAACAAAGGCAATTTAATGTGTGCCATTTTTGGACTACAAATCATCATATGTATTCAGTACAATGTGTGACATTTGTACTCCATATCTCATTTTCAGGAGATACAGATATGTATGTGTCACTTATGCGAAACATATTTATTCTTCCAACCATATTTGACTATTTTAAGTATATATGCATATAGAAATGTTGTAAGTTTCACATGTCAACAGATCTTTAAACGGTATGATAGATCCAGATTGTAAAAGTAGTTTTGTTTAAAAATCAGATTTACATGATAACCTTTTTAAACAAATTTGTTTGTATTTTTACAAAAAGGTGAGTTTTATTTTAAAATCCCTAATTTTATTTCTAAATGTTTAAACTGTGCTATCTCACAGAAAAATCTCATATGCAACCAAAAGCTATTATTTACAAAAAAAACCTAGGTCATATGTATTTTAAATTCAAAAAACCCAAAATAGAGTTCAGATTATACCCATCACAGTAGCCAAGGTTGGGATACCAGTCCAATACACAGGGCGTACACATCGAACGCCTAGGTCTTCGTCGGAGGATTCGATTCATAGACCAAGATGCAGTGAGTAGGTTGGAAATATGAAGACTTCCACATACAATTGGTTTACAGAGACGATCGGATAAACCGATGACTCATCGTTGTCGATTTATGGTGTAGACCATTGCTTTTAGAAAGAATGTCATTAATATTAGTAATGACGTTTGCATTTCCCAAACATGATTTCATTTTTTTCTTTCCCAAAATATGACCTGAATTAATTGAGAGATGCATTTAACCCTGATTTCATCATTCAATTCTGCCCTAATTAAAAGAAAGAGGAGCCTCTGTCATTTTATTTTAGCACCACGCTTCAGATGAGCCGCCCCAGCCTCTTCGCCGCCTCGCCGACGCCGCTGGCTCTTCGCCGCCTTCGTCTCGTCGCTGGCTATTCACCACCTTCGTCTAGCCTCGCCGCAACATCTTCTTATCCGGCGCCGCATCCTCTTCTTCTAAAATCGATAGCTTCTCCGTCTTCTTCTCCTCTTCTTCAGTTTCTTTCCGAGTGTTGGAAGTCAGCCAAAGGGGTGTTGACCCAATCGATGGATCTAATTGGTTTCAGATCTAGATCCGAAGAGGTGACGATGGCTAGGGTTAGGCTGAGGCGGTGGTAGGGCCAGGGGCTGGTTATGGGACACCGCCATCGGCCAGGGGCTAAGGTGGTTGCTTTCACAGTGGCATGGCCATCGTAGGTTGCAACTCATTTGAGCAGGGGAGGGGGCTTGGCCTGGGGAGCGGACTAGATTGGGTTGTGGTTGATGGGGGTTGGCCAGGGGCTTGGCGTGGCGGTCATTTGGCGACGCTGACGGTGGGCAGTGTCACAAGGAGGGTGAATCAATGACTGATGGCGGGACGGGAGAAAACTTTCCGGCCACCACTATGGCCGGTGGACGAGCAGTCACTGGGGTCGGTGGGTGGGCAGTCACTGTGGTCGGAGTCACTGTGGCTGGTTTCTCTACGGCAGAAAACTTTCTGGCAGTGACTATAGCCGGTGGACAGGCAGTCACTGGGGTCAGTGGGCGGGCAGTCACTGTGGCCGGAGTGACTGGAAGTCACTGAGATAGTGACCGGCGGTGGCGGCGGCGGTGCTGGTTCCGGTGACGGTGGTGGCGGCATCGGTGCCGGTGCCGATGTCGGTGTCAGTGTCGGTGACGGTGCCGGTGCTGGGGCGACTGCCATAGGGGTGCCAGTACCTGCAAGGAATATTATTAAAATAATAAATGTATGATTAAATAGAACAAACAAATGACTTTTAGTCACTTTTTTAGAAAAATTTAAAACAAGTCACATTTTTATTTTTTTCAATCATTTTAGTAATATTGGAATAAAAAGGCCTTGCTTTTACTGAAACAACTACGAAGGCTTGGACTTAGAGAGAATCAATGAGTATGGTCGGATTGAAGGTAGAAGAAGAGAGGCAGGCGATTGAAGGTAGAAGAAGAAAGGCGGAGAGCATCGTATTAGCCGATGCCACTACAAAAAAACTCGCTCTTTATCACGGATTTTTGTCACGGATTACGCCCGTGACAAAGTTCTCACGGGCTTTGTCACGGAATATTGGGATTTGTCACGAAAATGTGTTGTCACGGATAGGTCCGTGACAAAATCCGTGACAATATTTTGTCACGGATATTGTCCGTGACAAATTTACTCCGGCGACCGGTTTTTTACTCCTGTGAATACTTTTTTTGCTCCCGGGCATTTGTCACGGACAGGTCCGTGACAAATTTCAAATAACTTTGTCACGGATCCATCCGTGACAAAATCCGTGACAAACTTCAATTAATGATTTTCCAGCGGTAACCTTTAATAATACAGTACGAAAAAATGTTTGTCACGGATAAATCCGTGACAAATCCGTGATAAATTTTTTTATATAACCCAACCCCATCGTCCATTACATTTGCAAGAACAACACTTATCAGTTCAAAAATTCGTAGATTCGAGTGATGTAGTATCAGTTTAAAGATTGAATGATGTAATCTGTCAGTTCATCATTTTCCCAGATTATGCAGATAAGGTATGTCATTTTAACTAATTTCTTTTAATTGTGTAATAAATTAATTATTAGCTTAATTAGTGAGGTTAGTTGTTCATTTATTTAAACTATTAACGTAATTTAGTGAGGTCATGTTAATTTTCATATTATTAACAATATATTATTAAACTATTAAAGTAATTTAATTAGTTAAATTTAAATATAAATATTAATTAGTTAATTGAAATGAGTTTATATCACCAATG